TTTGATATCCTTTAATAAACATACTGTATTTAATACATTTATTTAAAACTACTATAATAAGATTAACTAAATTTCACTAGCAACATTTTTGATTTATTTCAACGGGTAAATATTATTAATGCTAATAAAGTAAAAAAAGATAATACCGAAATTTGATTATCAGGCTATTTACAGTACATAATCAAATTAATAAAAATTTCTTATACAGTATATGTATTTATTATTTACACTTTTTTTCTTGTAGACAGGAACAAAAAAAAATTATTTAGTCACATAGAAAATGAAAACGACACAGTATAAAAATATCCAATAACTTTACTTCTTTATTCCTGTATTCACAATATCGATATTGTCTTTTTTAATAATTTCCTTATTCGGTAATCCTTCTCATGTTAAATTTTCTCATTTCCTGAATCCCATAATTTCTTATGTTTAAATAAGTACGCTTCTTGTTTATTCAAAGTGTCTAAATGGTAAGTTGGTTAAGCGGAATAGGTAAGTACTGAAGTACATACATATATATATCAGTATTTGTATATTATAATATTAGACTGTAATTAGACTGTAATTATATTATATATCCAAAATGATTTAAGGTGCACGTAAGTATAAATTCTACTAAAAAAATTTTAATTATTTCCCAAATGAATCTTGGTTATAACCTGTAAAAATGCGCATATATAGTATATAATATATAATTATTTTTCTTTCACGGTTGCACTTATGACTTCATTTGCGACCAATAGCGATAGAAACCGAAAAGTGGAAATATTACAGTATTGGTATATGTTAATATTGGTATATATTAGTATTGGTATATATTAGTATTGGTATATATTAGTATTGTAAATATCGATCATTTGATGTATAGAAAATAGTTATTGAAAATACAGAACTAGAGATATAAACAAAACCGATTAATCAATAGAGTGAATCTCTAATTTAAACAAGAAATTTTTGACTGGCATCAATGACGTTATTATTTGAATCGAGTTTAAAATAAATACGTTCACAATTACATAATTAAAAAAAAGTAATAGTGATAAATAGAATACTATTCTTAATGATTAGAACTTTACTAAATCGTTAATATACTCTTTAATAAATCATACTTTATAACTTTGTAAGATTTTCAAAAGTTAAATAAATACTATTTATTTTTTAATTTTATTTCTTCATAATCCTTAATAAAAACGATTCCATCAGAATTTTAGTGACATACAACTACAGTAATTATTTGTATAAAAGAAAATCATTACTTTTATTTTTTTCACATCTATTCAATTTTTATTTTACAACGTTGTAAAATGGAAAACAAAACAACACATTTGGAACAGAAATTAGAAATTGTAATATTTTATTAATAATATCGGAATTGGTTTTTTTTTTTTTTTTGCATTTAATTAAAAATTCATCATAAATTTATATTTCATAGAATGAGTATTATAATCAAAAATCATTGAAGGAAAAGAAAAATCGTCAAATTAAAAAAGCAAATGCTGAAGAAGAAGAAAATGTAATAAAAAAAAACAAGAGTACATTAAAATTAATTCTTTTGTTAACCAAAAATTTTAATAAAATAGACATCACTTAAATTTGATCATTCCACACATTCGATGCCTACACACCTAAAAAGAACTAAAAGCCGTTCATACCTAAAAACGGAAGATGAAGACGATGACAGTCAAGATGATAATTATCATCAAGACAAAAAAACAAAACAAGAAGCTACTATGCAAAAAAGGAAGCCACAATTATGGACAAAAGAGGAGGATGCAATGTTGCTTGAATTGATTCATAAACATGGGTTCAAAGCTAGCATTATTAGAGATGAAATGGGAAGGAAACGTGGATTATCTTCTTATATTTCACGATGGGAGGTTTTAAAGAAAAAAGCTTTAATTTAATTAATTAATATAGTCTTGTCGAATGTTTAATAAATTTACAAATTTGCTTAATGTTAAAAAGACATTCATTCAACTTTACGTATGATACTGTATAATCCGCGGTATGTTCCGGTTCACCCAACTACCAATGTTAAATAAATTATCCGAGTGTTATCGTTATTAAAAAACCCTTTTTTTTTATTAAAGTAATAACAAAGCGATAAGGAAAACAAAAAAATAATATGCTCCTAAACAAAACTTTTTTTTTCTTTAAAAATTCCAGCTAATATAAAAGAAAAAGAAAAAAGACGAAACAAAAAAAAATAATAATAATAATATTAACGAAATAAAAGTTCTTTCATATGGTTCTCGTTAATAGTGAGAACACATTATCAATTGTCTTTGCAGCTTATATACAAATGCTAACGATTAACCTCCCAAATGTGAGTGTAGTTAAACAGTCCTAATTACTACGATACCTTTCCATTATTAACATTAAATATACAAATATAAATTCCACCTGATGAAAATCGCAGAAAAAAATGTCCTAGAGTCCTTTTGAAAATGATTTTTTAAAAGTCGATAAAAAAATAAAATAAAATAATAATGTTCCTTATATCCGTACGTAAATGTATAATTAAAAAATTCTTTTTTTTTTTTTTCTTTTTTTGTGTGTTAAATTTCCTCCCAAATAAGCAGAAATATTGTAGCAAAAAAAAAAAAAAAGAAAAAGAAAGAAAAAAAAAAAGGGAGGGAAAAAGGGGAAAAAAGTAAATAAATAAAAAGTGAAAAAAAAAGATAAAACTAAGCGCTTTCCTTAACGCACTCCAGGACTCCTACACATGAGTAGTAAAACTTTATTTTCGTAACATTCCTCTCAAAGCAATTTGCTTTTCAACGTTATCGGGTCTTGGGAATGGCATTTCATAACCGCGCAAGGGACCTGCGGTATGAAAAAGTTTAGGACGGTATTCGGGAGTTTCCGACATGACGCTTTTAAAAAAATACACAAATTATCATTATTTAATGATGATAAAATTTACCAAAAAAAAAAAAAAAAGATTTTTAATATATGTACCCTGAATTTCTAAACTTTTGGATGAGTGCGTTTTTGCCCTGAACATTGGCATATGACAATTCGCAAATCTTGTCAGAGTTGAAGCTAGGCCTTTGAAAATACAATTATTATATGTTACAAAAAACTACATTGTAATTGTATTAAACCTTTTAAAAAAAAATATATATATATATATATATATCATACCATTTTTTTCCAACACGTGCTTCAGCAAAAGAAAGTACGGCGCTTTTTTTTTGAAACAATAACAATATTATAAATATTAGGAAAAAGAGAATAACAAAACCATATATTGTATAAAAAGAGAATCATACTTGACATCCACAAAGTTAATGAAAGCATATCCGACATTGCATTTGTTCTTAAAATCGATACGTAAGTAGACGAAATCATATTGACCACAATGAGTTTCGTCAAGCCAATCCAACAGCATTCGCTAAATTTTATAAGTATTTGTAAGCAAAAATGCACAAATTACATACTATATTCACTGATAATAGAATGATTAGATACCTGAGTATATTTGTTCGGAATATTCCTGATCATGAATGTGGTACGATTATCAAGACCTATTGTTATAATTATGACATGGTAAAAAATTAAGAGAAAATTATGAAATGTTAAAAAAATTAAAATACATACTAAATTATTTAAACTATAAAATAATAAAAATACCATTTCTAATTCTTTCAAGATCAAGAGTATTTTTTTCTGGAATAGTTCTGTTACCAGATGAAATCACAGTACTATTTTCAGGTGGTGATGGAGAAAATTTTGCCAAATCTTCAGACCTATTTTCAGGGTCATTAGAAGGAGCAACCGGAAATTGACGTGGAGGTGGAGGAACGGCTAAACCAGTTTTTTGATGACGTTTAAAATCTTCAGCAACCGCATCCCATGATTGTGATCCGGCGTCGTAATATTGGACACGGATTTGAGCTCCCTACAAATAAAAATAAGCGAATTATGAATTTTCAAGTATAAATTGAAATAAAAGAAAATAAAGAAATATATATATATATATATATATATATATAAATGTACATACATATATATATATATATATATATATAAATGTACATATATATATATATATGTGTGTGTATATATATGATACCTCGATAATTGTGCCGTTTATTGATTCTTTGGCGGCACGAGCAGCGCGTGTATCATAGTATTCGATAAGAAGGACCAAATTTTGAGCAGCAGAAAAAGATCTGGCAATTCTAATCGTACCCACTTCATCGAAACGATTCTAAGAAAAGGAATTATTAATCGGGAAATGATTTACCAAAAATAAATATATATAAAAAATAATTACCAAGATCGCAGATTTAATTGATTGTGCACCAAACCAAGAAACCATGATGACACCTTCGTTTATCCAATCACACTCATTACCTTGGATTTTTGGCAATTCCTAATTTTTCACATATATAATATTTTTTAGTAATTTTTTTTTAAATAATATATATTAATAATATTAATAATAATTCTAATATGACATTATAATTATCATTATTAGAATTATTAATAATTATTTATTATTAGATTAAGATTATACCTGCACAGCGCATGGTTTAGAAGAAAACTGGATTTCCAATCTACGCTGATTATGAGGCGCGTCTTGATGACGGAGAAATTGGTGTGCCTTGACAGCGTCACGAAGATCATAATAGATCACATAAGCATAACCGATTCCAGCAAGAATTTCTTGGACGTCACCATAAATCTAATAAGAAAAAAAAGCGTGCAAGTTGAAAAAAAAAATCGATGGTGGCGCAGTATTAAACTTTTATTAATGATTACCTCGAAAATTGATCTCATGTGGCGCCAAAGATTAACATCAGTTGGAAAATTTGAGACGTATAACCACCTAGAAGGTAAAGCACCCCAAGTACAACCAAACATCTCGGAACCATTTAAAGTTGATTTATGGCCAGCAGTGGTTACAACTGGAGAAGGAGTAATTGACCTCGTATCAGATTTTGACACAGCTGGAGGGAAACAAAATAGACCTTGACCAGATTTAGAGATCGAAATTGTCTCTTCAACAGGAGTTTGTTCCTTATGTGGACCAACATATAACTTTGCAATCTGACGAGCGATTGATTCCTCATCGTATATATTTGATGGAGTACTAGGAGGCGTAAGATTAAAAGAGCAACAGCCTTGAGTAAAAGTGACGGCACGAGGATTAAAGTCCTTAGACATAT